TACTTATAAGTTAAAAATAAGCAAATAAGTAACTTTACCAAACATGATTCTGGACCCTTATAACTAAAGCACACTTATAAGTTGAAATAAATTGGTTGCCAAACACACTCTTGCTTTATGTCCAGCTTGTTACAAATTGAAATAAATAGCTAATTGCAAGAGCTTTGACAATGACATGTTTGTCAGAAATACTTGAAGACGTTAGCAATCAAAAAAGTGTAGTCATAGTCGGTAGAAACCCTAGGTAGGTCAGCCAGTAGAGAGAAACCCTAGGCAGGTTAGCCAGTGGAGAAAAACTAGAAACTATAGGCGGGTCAGCCAATAGAAAAAACCCTAGGCAGGGTCAGTCAGTAAAAGCATACATCGGAGTTAACTATGTAGTTTTGCATCCAACCGTAGGAAGATGACATTGAGCGATACTGTATGAAGAGTACCATGATGAGCAGTGTCGTTTTTTCTTATTGAGGTTAGGTTTTTTTCAAGGGTAGGGTTTTTTTATTAAGGTTCAACAAAGTTTATTAAACAAATGATGTAGAAATCAACATTATTGGAGCCACAAAGATGTTGTCGTAGTCACCGAGGGAAGCATGAAGGCGATGCAAAACCCCCTTGACGGCATCGATATCTAGAAAGATGAGAGAAGCTGCTAGGATCAAGTAGGCTCTAATACCATGTAGAGAAATAGAAAAAGGCAAAATTATTATTATTATAACCCTAACCTCCCTTAATTAGATGTTAAGAGGATATTACAGAATGGATATGAGATAAAATCATATCTAATTACATCTCATAATAACTCAACAATATCTCATAATATCTCCTAAATCTAAATACCAATAATATCTAACGCTCCCCCTCAAACTGGAGTACATGTTACTATATATGTCCATGTTGTTACAAATCGAAATAAACAGCTAGTTGCAAGAGCTTTGACATTGACATCTTTATCCATAATACTTGAAGGCGTCAGCAACCAGAAAAGTGTGATCGCAATCAGTGGAAACCCCAAGCGAGTCAGCCAGTAAAGAGAAACTCTAGATGGGTCATCTAGTAGAGAGAAACTTAGGCCGGTCAGTTACTAGAAGCAACGTCGGAATCAACTATGTAGTTTTGCATACAATCATCAGAAGATGACGAAGAGAGATATTGTCCACGACTAGGGATGAAATTATTTCTGTTGCTTTTGTTGATACATTTCTTTCAAGTCATAGTACTTGGTTTTAACATAGTGAAGGTCAATGCTTAAAAGTTTTCATATTGGTTAGGTTGACAAGGTTATTGCATCAGACATCGTATACATATATCTCTAGAAGATTATTAGAATGCTGAGTAATTGCATTTGAGTTGCAACATATGGTTCATGTGGACTCTTGTTCAAGAAGAGAAATTCCATGTGGATTCTTTGTAGCAGGAAGCCAAGTAAATAGCAAATATGCTCAGATGTCCATCTTTTCATGTCAGTAGTAGTGTGCACAATCACATCAACAAGTACAAAGAAGACAAAATGATAATTGATACACATTCTCTTTAAAACTTTAGCGAAGAACTAGTACAAAATTTGCACTGCAATAGAAGTGATTATATAAAATGATAAGCCTCAACCCTCATCACAACTTTGGAGTTTTGGTGCAGGTGCAAGGTCCTTGAGATGATATCAACGCAACCTTGTCAACCTTAACCTGTAGGGCATGTCACAAGCTTACAGTATAAAATTATAACCTTCAATCTTCACCACAACTTCTGGGTGTGATGCAGTGGCAAGGTCCATTAAGAGGGTCAAGAAGTGTACCTGTTTCAAGACTTTGGCCATGGATTCATGGACTGTATTGTGTCCAGGAGCGGTCACTTGATCTGAGAGAGAAATAGTCAGACTTCATTCATTGTAAGGTTTATAATTACATAAAGAACAATGCGGGAGTAAACTGAAGATACTCTAATATTCCAGTAACGCCATGTATCATATTGTGGTTTGAGTCTGTTTTGGAGGTTGTTTGTTTAGTTCTAAAGTTACTATTGTTTTGATACCTTTTCCCTAAGTTGCATGGAAACGGGCACGGGTACTGGTACGGGTGCGGGTACGGGTAGGGGACATAGCAAAACTGTAAAATGTTGGGTACGGGGACATGACTACATATATATATTGAATTAATAATGTACATGAGATAATTTTTTTCCGCTTCATGTGTCATTAGAATTAAAATTTCGATCACATTTTTGAATTTATTTTATCATATTGATTATCGTGAATTGTAAACTCTTCATTTTTTTACTAGACATCTAAACGGCCCATTAACTATATAATTTTGAACTTGGGTATGGACTGAAACGAACCCGATCCGTATCCCATTAGTTTCAAAAGACGGCTGTGAAGTGTAAGCACTACGTCCAGGAAGTCTTTGACAAGTGTTTTAAATTAATACATATATCGTATAATTGAGTACATGTTGTAATAAATGCATGCATATATTCAAGAAGTGTCCATGAAGTTGGGTACGGGAAAGTGTCGGGTACGTGTCCGGTACGGGTACGGCTTCAATAATGAAGTACCCGGGTAACACGGGAAAGTGTCGGGTACGTGTCCGGTACGGGTACGGCTTCAATAATGAAGTACCCGGGTAACATAGCCTTTTCCCTTCAGTTTTATTTTGGTTGAGAGAAGGGATTTTATTTTATTTTATTTTATTTGGGGGGGGGGGTTATTGCGATAATGGGTTGAGTTCTTATTTTGAGTTACGTAAAATTGTGTTCTTAATATTTATTAATTTTTTTTGTCTCTTTAATGCTAAATGTTTGCTTGTGGAGCTTCAAGTGTACCATCATGACTTCTTCTCTGTGGCACTTTTGTATGCCAATTACTGCCTGGGAAAATTGTGGACAAAGACAGAAATAAAAGTAATATTAGCTAGGTAGCACAGATTCCAAGAGATTATTCTGGTTAGAAATCATTTTTTAAAGAAAGTTCTAGTTTCCAACTGCTAATACGAGTTTTCTCGACTATTTATATAGCATTTGCATTTCTTAGATATGTGTGTAAGTTGCAATGTGATGAAGAATGGTTGTATTATACTTTTCAGGAGCACCTTTTTTTTAAATCTATAAAGCAATTACTGTTTTTTAATCTTTTCCACGGTAGCTATTATTAGCAGCCTCCTAATACAGAAACAGTGATTATGTTTATGTGGATCCAATATGCTATTTTTCTTTCTCCTTCCGCTTATACATCTTATAAGGAAAGCGGAAATGAAAGTTTCCTATTCAGTTTAGTCTGTAATAACCTGCAAATTTACCATTACTTATAGAGTTGTTAAAAGCAATCAGATGTTCTTCTTCTTTCAGTTTGGATTCCGCATTACCTTTAAATTGTAATTACTTAAAGTGTGCCAGCATCTACATGCCTCTGAAATTATGCTGATGGTGCAGAATTACCAGTTAGTTGAAATGTCTTGATATATATGTTGTGTCTGCTTTCAGTGTCTGTATCCCCTACTGATTGTTCTACATACTTTGTTAGGACTCAAACCTTTTTGGAATTTCTTTCTGCAGATTCGAGACACCAGTGTGTTTGTTAGACTACGACCTGCTTGGGAGGATCTGAGGAGCTATCTAACTGCTAAAGGGCGTAAACGGTTTGAAGTTTATGTTTGTACAATGGCTGAAAGAGACTATGCGCTGGAGATGTGGAGGCTTCTTGACCCAGAAACTCATCTGATCAGCTCAAGCCAACTCTTGGATCGTGTTGTATGTGTAAAACCAGGCAAGCCCATGATCTCAATCATGTTATATGTTTAATTTTTCCCCAAGTAATTTCTCAAGTTGTTAATCGATTAGGTCTTGTCATACAAGTGTGTTCTGAATTGGAATTTTAACTTGTTTCATGTGGACAAAAGTTACAATTCTCTTATAGAATGCTGTTTTTCATTCTCTCTTAACACTTACTCTAAATTTCTACTCTTTACAGGTTCTCGGAAATCACTGGAACATGTTTTCAAAGATGGAATTTGTCATCCAAAGATGGCTATGGTGATTGATGACCGCTTGCAGGTTTGGGAGGACAGGGATCAGCCTCGAGTTCATGTTGTCCCTGCATTTACACCATATTATGCCCCTCAGGCAGAGGTGCTCTTTTAATGCAATTTGTGTGTGCATGTGCGTGCGTGCGTGTGTTTCATGAGCTTTTTTTTATGTTAGACTTTGAATTGTTGATTGGATATCGTCTGCTAAGGAATCAACATTTCATTTAAAATTTTCCTTACAGATGGCAAATGCTGTTCCTGTCTTGTGTGTTGCAAGAAATGTTGCTTGCAATGTTAGAGGTGGATTTTTCAAGTAAGTGGAAAGATCCTCAGCCATTCTCCTGATTATTTATTGGATGAATCTGAAAGTCTTCTATTCTGCAGCTTAACATATATTATCTGCAGTAATTATATATTAACATCTATTAATCGTTGCGTGCTTGTAGAGAATTCGATGATGATTGGATGAGAAGGATATGTGCACTATATTATGAAAATGAGGTTTCTGATTTACCTACTTCTCCAGATGTGAGTGACTACTTGATGTCAGAGGTAAATGTATGCAGTTTTGGACTTCTATGTGTCATTGAGATAGTTATATGTAACAATAATGTGGGGTTTGGTGGTTTTATCAGGACACTAATGCTATACTGAGCAGCAACAGAGATATTTCCGTAGTAGAGGGTATGACGGGTCCTGAAGCTGCAGAAAAATTGAATCAAGCAGTAGGTTCTATGTTCTACTTTTGGTTTTCCTTTCTTTTTTGTCATCATGAACTTTCTATATCCTCTAATGATCAACAGAATGTTAAAATGTATTATTGGTACTTCCATAGCTTCTGTTGGTTTTACATGTGCAGTTCTCCTAGTAACTCATGCTACCCGTGAATCATGCATCAGTTGCCTCACTTGTATATGTGCCCATCAACTCAAATGTTATCTTTTCTTATTCAAAATTTTAAGAATATAGCGGCACTTTTTATGCCCCTTTCAGCATTCAAACATTTGACTGCCCTTTGTGCAACATTCCATCTATTTTATCTGTTGGTCTATTATTGGTTTTGATTATTATTAGAATAAGTTAGTATACTCGTTTTTTCCCCATGCACAGGATTTACTCTTGCAACATTGTAGTATCCATTAAATTGAGGGAAATTAACCAATTATAACATCTGCAGGTCTATTTGCATTTATTGTTAATGAACAAATGAACGAAAAAAGGATTAGAACAAATCTTCTAAAAGTTATAAAAAAACTAATAAACAAATCAAAAGCTAATGAGTAATTAACCTCCACAAGACAAATTCAGATCTCAGTTGCTAAGATCTGTTACTCCTTCCATCACAAACTCTCAATAACAACAAAAAAGGAAGGAAAAGTTTAGAATGAATCCTGGTGGAGGGAAAAAAAGGAAAGGGGAAAAAAACAAAAAAACAGAGGGTTAGAGATTGAAGGAGAAGGAAGGATATGTGGACTTGTATGATGTAATAATTGTTGAACTTAATTTCTTGTAACATACGTAGGATGTCAAAGGATTGGACTTGAATTTGAATAATTGGATTCGGGTGATGGGGAGGTTAACTTTAGAGGTTACATTGAGTAGAGAAGTAGAGACGTTAGTTAAAAAAGGGAAAAAAATCTAATGAATAATATATTAAGAGCCAAAATAACTGCAGCTTGCCAAGTGGCAATCAAGGTTTTACTTTAGTATATAGTATAGATTAGAGAGATCAGAAAAGTTTGTTTAGTCGCTCAATGAAACCTATGTATACATTATTTACTTTCTAGTTGCAAATAAAACCTGACTTTCCAAATCATATCCCAACTTACTGAAATGGGTCGGAGCATGTTTTGTTTTTATAGGAAAAAATTTCTAAACTACTTTCAAAAACCCCTCAAAAAAGTCCTACCCAACTTTCAGCCCCTTCTCTCTTTCATTCTTCTCTCTACCCACCTCCTAACCCATACACTTGGTGTACACCACCCGCAACCCGACACTGATTGCAACGCTCTAACCAGCTATTAGTGCAAAAGCATAGCCTGCAGATGCATCACCAAACACGTCATTAGATCTCCTCCTTCATAGAGCAATCTGTCACCAAGCAATGTGGAAACTTCAAGAAACTACTAGTTCGATCTAAAGAGAAACAGATAGCGCAAAAGATAGAACAAGAGCGCAAAGATGCTGATTTATGTGGTTCGGCAATTGCCTACATCCACCGAGAGAGATTTGAGTCTTCTTTATACCAGAGATTACAAAGATGTAATCTTCTTTAGATCTCTAAAGATTCTACGAGAAACTTTCTCTCAATCTCATCAAAAGACCTTTCAAAGCCCTAGATTTTTTCCCTTAGTTCTCTCTACCTCTTTTACAATATGCAACTCTCCTTGGGTTTTACTATGGCTTGAAAGCTATATTTACAGTGAACCTCTCAAGGGGTATTTAAAAAGCTTTTACACTCTCTTGAATTCATGTAGCACTCCTCCTTTTACGTGGATTATCAATTCTAATCCTCTTCCAATTAGATTTCAATTGCGATTGTAATTGATTCTTTTCAATCAAATTCAATCCTCAAGCCAAGCCCAACTAGGATTTCTTAAATACAAGGCTATTTCCCAACAACAGTTGCCTGGACCCACTCCTAACCTAAACCCTCAACACTCCTCTAATTTTCCCAACATAAAAATCATATTGAATAATTCATACATGTTTTACCTAAGAACCATGCGTATTGTTTGCTGATGACTCAAGAGAAAATCTGTGGCAGCCTTCACATCCTTGCATCAGATTATGAATTTTAACTCCTGGTCTACCAAGAGCTTGCTCATTGGGGATGGTTAACCAGTTTATAAGGATACGCTCAATGAATAATGGACCCATAATTATTCTTTTTTCCCCCTCTCACCCATACATAGCTGTAGACATCTGTATGGTACTGACCTCAAGTTATGCAGAGATGTCTTGGAGAGGGAAGGCATATACGAGACCAAGCACAGACCACACCTTTTTCCTTAGGTACTTATCATGTCCTCTGATTCCCTTTCTTCTTTTTTATGTACTTGCTAAATTTTGATTCTTTTAATCTACGAACAATTTGTTCTCATTTACTCGTGCAAAACTGCATAAATTGTGTCTGGCGAGCTATGTAGATTTGGCAAAAACCAAAGTTCCATCTGATTTTGAGACGAATGTTTTACCATTGATCAACACAAGTATATAACTGTTATCTTTCATTGCTCCAACCATTCTGTTTGAAGGGTATGATGCATCCGAACTGACCTTTCCTTTTAAATTTCTGACTGACTGATTATTCTGAAGCAGATGATTCGTCACAAAATGGAGCATCCGTCAACAATATAGGATCATCAAATATGTTTCCATCATTATTTGTTGCAGTGTTGCAAGAAATTGGACGGAGGTGTGAGTCGAAGGTGCTTACTCTAGTCCAAATTTTTTTTATCTCAATATATTCCATCTCCGTATTTGCTACATCCTTTTTTGTATGTAGGTAGAGTTCAAGCCTATTATTGCAAGCAGTAAGGACCCCGACTTCTCAGTTGAGGTTAGTAAAATTTGACATTCTATTACTGTGAACTCGTTAGTATTTTGGTTAACCAGACTTCCTGTTCTTTATCAATGGGTTTATTAGCTTATGACATAAGGAGCTTTCATATGGTTTTTATGTCATGCTAAAGTAAAAAATTTGCCATAGAAAATTTGCCATAGAACGATCATATTTGTTTTGTTAACCAACTTTGAACCTCTTCAAAGATTTTGCATGACAGTTGTAATTAACAGAAAATAATTGCATTTGCTTTATTTACTGGATAGCTGCTGCATGTGCTCTTTACTATCTTTGAGTGAATTGAAGAAATCCCTACTTCCCTGTATCTTCTATATGACCTATGTTTTCACTGATAAAAGGTGCAGCTGTTAATTGTCCTTGTTTTGCTGTATTGGATGTGATGTTCACCCATAAAACAGAGATTCATTACTTATGATGTTGTTTCATATCAATTTACCTTTTCAATTTTTTTATGTTAGGTATTGTTTAGCAGTGAGAGGATTGGAATTGGAATGGGCAAAACAAGAAAAGAGGCTCAACTCCAAGCTGCTGAGAATGCTCTACGCAATTTGGAGAGTAAGAATCACACCATCTGTGTTCCAGCATCAGTTTAGCTTATGGGTCATGAGCAATTTATCTATTAGAATTAAATTGTATCTTTATTGTGTATTCAACTAATAGCTATTAGCTTTTATTTCAATTGTCCTATGACTTAGTGGACATAAATGACAATATTAAAGTTCCATGCTCGTCTTACACATGTGTGCACGCGTGCACAGATTGGTTGGCATGCAATAATATAGTCTCTCATCCATTGTTATAATACTTGGTCCGTATTTGTGCCAAACTGATTTATGCACCTATCCTTAGCTGCAAAGAGAAGGCAGGGAGGAGAAGAAAATACTTTACTATGGGCTAGATTTCTACCCATATTTCGCGTTGGAATGTTGCAGTATGTGGCACAAAAAAGTATGCAGAGCAGTTCTTAATGTAGGATGTGAGATGATCACACAAAAATATGTGCTATATTTGGTTGTTATATGGGTGGATGATAACCTTGTAGATTTGTATACCTTCAATTTTGCTAACAAGTTGAGGTAACATACCTATATCATTCCATTTTGTCACAGCAATGTTTTCTATGGTTATTGCTAGGCACATGGTGTGGGAGAAACATGATAGATAAAGGTATCTGATTCTGTCTGTGAAGCTGCTCATAACCCTTAGTTTTCAGACATCTGTATTAAAGGTGGACTCTTAGTAGTATGACACTGTATGACTGGCTTTATTTTAGCTGGAGTGTTTCTTTCAATATATGTATGTAGTTAACTAGAGCTTGTGGTTTTAAAAGGTCTCTGCCTAGTCCGCCAAGGGCACCTAGTACGCCTAGGCCTAGGCGGTACCTAGGCCGCCTATAGCGCCTAGTGCCTGGGCGGTACCTAGAATGCGCACCTATGTTTTGGGAGTGTTTAAGGGAGCATTGTTTGCTTACGTAGACTGCACCCTTTAGGCCTTGATCATGATTTTCTGTGTTGCAGCATCCACATCCTCCAACCCCTTCAAACTCATTTAACCTCCAGATATGAACATCTCCACTACCTCCTCCGACATTCAACAAAACCTCCTCGACCACCACTTAAATAACGAAAGAAGTCCGCCTAGACACTAGTCCGCCACCTAAGCTTTTGATAACTTTGACATTCACTATCAATTATTGTAATTAAAAAATAAAAATAAAACCTTCTAGGCTCTAGGCATCGGGTCCAATGCCTAGACCTCCTAGCGCTTTATAACCTTGTTAGTTATTATTTTGGTTATTTACTATTAAAGTATGTATGGTATATTGTGAATCTAAGATTGTTTTTTTGGCAAATTTATATGAATCTAATACATATTTTTATCAATTATTATAATTAAATTTAAAAAATAGCCAAACGCCTAGGGGCAACCTAGACATATCCTTAGGCGTTTGGGTGCTTGGCGTTGGCTCAAATGCCTAGTCCGCCTAGCACTTTCTGTAACGTTATTTGTAGGGCTTCAATATAGTCATCAAATGAGGATATTTCTACCATCCCAAGTTTTTATTATTATTAATTGTTGTTTTCTGGCTTGCTTTAGTACATATGCTGGAAGTATTGTCTATACTGTATTCTTTATCTACTTGTTTTGAAACGTAAAATATTGAACCATGTCTAACACCAAACTATGGTTGATTTGTTCTGTCTTCTGTCTGAAAACTTAGGCAACTATATATCATTCATTCTACCTACCAACAGGGACGTGAACAGAGAAAAGGATAAGCTTTCTGTAAGAAACAAAAATGGATTTTTAGAAGATCTAATAGATACTGCATCAGATGAGCCGCCTGAGCAAGGGTACTTGCATGGTGCAAGTACATCAGAGCACTTGGGTCAGCACTATTACACTTCAGAACGATTGTCCTCTGTCCTTTGCAGTATTAAAGAACTAGTAAGAGATGAAACCTTTGCTTAATTCATACTTTTATGCCACTTTTAAGCCATCAGTTGTTTTCATTACTTATGCTGAATAATTTAGTGCATGGAGGGTCAAAGCCTTGTTTTCCAAGATCAAGCCCCTGCATCTGTGACATTAGATAAAGGAGAATACTATTTCCAGGTGATTTAACATCATACTTAACAAAATGGTTTTGAATTATTAGTGGGATATATAAATATAAATATATATATATATAAACATATAAATAAATATATATATATAAACATATAAATAAATATATATACAGCTGTCAAAAAGAGATCTTCCTTTTTAATCTCTGGATACCTGATTTTGTCTTGTTGTCATTTTTATGTCATTATTTAGGTTGAATTGTCAGGTCATGTTCTAGGGAAAGGAATTGCTGCAAGCAGGGATGAGGCCAAGTTTCAGGTCTTAATTTAGCTTTTGGAATCTGGACTCTTTACAATGTTTCTGTATGCTTTCTTCTATATTGTACTTTTTAATCAGCACCATCATCATAATGTATGCCTTTTCTCGTCAAAGTGAATTGGACTATGGTTCACGAGACTCAGTTTGCATGTGCTGATGTACCTTTTAACCATGTTTACCCCCATCAGCTTCAATTTTGCTTGAGTCATCTCATCATTTTATTTTAGAATTTTTGTAGGAAATTGGAAAATTTCCCTTTTATTTGTTTATGTTACCCTTCTATTTCTTTTGAGTTCTAACATACAGATTCTACCTCAAATTGGCTTTTCTAATTAATGAAGAGGGAAGCATGGTGCAACATTGTGAGCATGCATTTCTAGCTAGGTAATTGTTGGTGTATTTACAGGGAAGGGAGTATAGTTGATGGGAGTTAAAGGGTAGAACTAACTGTAAGACCCTGGAGTGATTGACTGGGGTAAATAAAAGCATTATGCAAATTATGCTATGCAAATGCAGTAAACAAATAAATAGTAAACACTGATCAGTTCTCTGGAACTATAGCGTGATAATTCAATGGAACTTTGAAGCATAACAATGTTACGCGTGCGGCCACGAACAGATAAGAATGCAGTACACTAAGAAGTTCTGTGGAATTGTTTATTGAAAGTTACCTGGAATTTTCAAGCAATGTAATGGTCAACACACATCATGAGATATGTAGAATGTAGTGTATGCAGTTGCACTCAGATATAAACTATGAATGATTCTACAACTGTCTACAGAAGGTTCAACAAAACTATAAAGGACAACAAAGTGTAGAGCTGAAAGTGAAGAGACATGCAAAAAGCGAAACATAGAGCGCACAAGAGATTTTTAGGTGGTTCACCCCCGGGCTACATTCACCCCCGGGCTACATTCACCCCTAGTTTCCCAGCTAGGATTTCTTAAATCCACTATTATGGACTTCATGGACTACCTCCAGGAGCCAAATAGGTACAATCTTGTCAATTATACAACCCTGTGCGCTGGACTTTAACCCTCTGTCACAAAACACTTTTGAGCTGATATGACAGGCTCTTAACCTTAGAGAGACACCACTTTTACAAAAGTGAATACAAGATGTTCTCTTCACACTGAAAGAAAGAACTAGACAATATAACATAAAACACTTATAAAAATACCAAATGCACAAGACAAGACAAGGTAAATATGAAGATGTATGCTTAAGCAGTAAAAGACAGTAGTAATCTCAAACAAGAGATGAAGCAAACAAAGAGTTTCCAAGATCACAATCTCAGAGATGGAGCAGGGAATCTTGCAACACTCAATGATGTCTTCAATCAGACAAAACTTTGGCTTTGGAACTATGAGCAGAACTTTTAGTAGAGCTTTCAACGAGCAAACAGAAATTTGAATATTTGAGAGTAGATTTTCTCAAGGGTGCTTATTTGCTTAGACAGAAATGATCTATGATAAGGTGTATATGTGGGAAACAAGGATCAATTTGTAATGGTAGCTTTTACTGCCATTGGAGCTCTCTTTTCTAACAGAGTTGTCACCGTTTGGGCTGTTAATAGATCAGAAATCTTGGTCGTTACATTGCTCTATTTAATTTCTCCATAGTTTGTTTTTGTGAATATCCCTGAAGTTTATTCTGTATCTTGAATTTCGGATCTTGTATCTTGATGAGTTTATACATTCACAACAATTGTCTTGATAACACAATGGTGACTAATTGCACAGGCGGCGCAGGCAGCACTGAATAACTTGAAGAATGCTGTTGGTACTATGGAGTAGAAGTGTGCAAATCTGGCAAGGTTACTTTACCATTTAACTTCAACCACATGAATTCAGTTGTTTAAATATTTTTTCGTGAACATGAAGCATTTTGGATAATTAAGAATCAAATTCAGTTAAACCTTATGTTACCTCGGTACTTCTATTAGGCAACCGTATCCATACCCGACCTTTGCTTATACCCGCACTGAAATTTATTGGACACTTCTTTCAGGCGTATACTCAATTACATAATACATGTTTTAACCTAAAACACTCATACACTTCTTAGACGTATATCCTACACTTCACGCCTATTTTAATACATTGATTTTATGTAAATTAAAAAACAATATTATTCTTATATAGATTAATAATTTTAATGCCTATAAATATATATAATATACATGTATATAGCCAATAATAAAAAAACATGGTTTTATTATGCACGTGGTCCGGGACCGCTTAACGATTAATTGGATTAAGCATTAAGTAATTGCATTAGCAAAATTATGTGTTTCTGAATTTTTTAATATATATTTATTATTTATCATACATTGAGTTATATAAATTCATGAAAAATAGAAAATATGCTAAGACAATACCAACAAATATACAATTGAACATTCAGTAACTAGTTAACCACTTAAAAATGCAATCCATACATCAGAATTAACCAGAATTCAAATAAAACTCGTTAAATTAGACAGTTAAACTAAAACCAAAAGTCCATCAACAAAAACCAAATTGTCTAGTCTTCTTCATCATCCTCATAACGAGTGCAAAGAAGAGAGAGAATCACAATATTTGGGAAAAGATAAGGGCTAGGAATTTTTTTTAACTTTTTACTTGGATCGCATTTGGGCATGCTCAACCCACAATAAAATTGGGAAAAAAGTGCCTGCCTAAACAAATTATGTCGATGCTTAGTTGCTTACTTAAAAGTTGGCTAATTAAGCAAATGTCTGCATAATTGAGCACATAATTCATATTTTGCGTGTTTTTTTTCCGTTTTCACTTAAGCAGGAGATTAAGCGGATGCTTAAACCTTTTTTTAGAACGCTATATAGCTGTGACCACGTACCCTCCCTTTTACAAATTTATCGTATCCCTTACCCGGTACGTGTATCCGTACACGTACTCATGCAACTTAGGTTAACCTCATTACTATTGTTATCTAAGTCTGTAAGCCTTTTCCCATACTTAATTGACATAGGGTCAAAACGGACAAATATGGAGTGTGGACAATAATCATGGATTATAGCTCATGAAAATTATGAAATACTGGAGCACACATCCTTAGTTGCCATTGGCAAAAATGATGAAAAATTAACAAAATTTGTGGGTTATCGTCCATGAATCTCACTAATTCTCAAGTACAAATAATTAAGTTGCATTGGATGTAAAATAATGGAAAATGAACAGGTTGTAATTCTTTTTTTGGTTGTAGCTTATGGAATTGTGAATCTTGAAATACTCGTACTAAATTTCCATTTGGTTGAAGCGAACAAAAACAGACAAAAATTATGGGTTATAGTTCGTAAAAATCATGAAATTTTGTAATACGTGTATGTAATTGTCATTAGGTCAAAACGTAATGTGTTTTGAAACACACATAATTAGTTGTCGTTTGGTAAAAAGCGAATAAAAATGGACAAATACTATAGGTTCTAACTATGTAGCATAGATATATGTTTGGACACGGGCATGAGACATGACAAATTTGTAAAAAAATGTAGGATACATGGACAC